GCACTTTTGGAGGCTGAGGCGGGCAGATCACTTGAGGTCAGGAGTTTGAGACCAGCCTGTCCAACATGGCGAAACCCCATCTCTACTGAAAATACAAAAATTAGCTGGGTGTGGGCGTGGTGGCAGCCACCTGTAATCCTAGTTACTCAGGAGGCTGAGGCAGGAGAATAGCTTGAACCTGGGAGGCGGAAGTTTCAGTGAGTTAAGATCATGGCATTGCACTCCAGCCTGGGCAACAAGAGCAAAACTTCGTCTCAAAAATAAATAAATAAAATAAAATAAAAATTCAGGACACCTGGTTAAATCTGAATTTCAGATAAATGACGAATATAGTTTTTTTTTTTTTTTATTAAAAATATGTCCTGTGGAATGTTTGGGACATACTTAGACTAAAAAATAACAAAAACACATCTGTCATTTTTCTGAAATTTAAAATTCCCTGAGTATCCTGCATTTTATATAGAAAGACTACCCTGGCCCCTACCCGGCATTTTAATATCAAGTGATTTTTAGCCTGGACAATGTAGTAAGACCCCAGCTCTACAATAAAATTGAAAAATTAGCCGGGCATGGTAGCACACCACCTGTAGTTCCAGCTACTCAGGAGGCTAAGGTGGGAGATCCCTTGGGCCCAGGAGGTCGAGGCTACAGTGAGCTATGATGGTGTCACTCACTCCAGCCTGGGTGACAGAGCAAGACTCTGCCTCTAAAAATAAAATAATAATAACAATATGGAGTGATTTTAAAATAATAGCCAAGGTAGGCCGGGCACAGTGGCTCACGCCTGTAATCCCAGCACTTTGGGAGGCTGAGGCAGGTGAATCACAATGTCAGGAGTTCGAGACCAGCCTGGCCAAGATGGTGAAACCCTGTCTCTACTAAAAATACAAAAATTAGCCGGGTGTGCTGGTGGGCACTTGTAATTCCAGCTACTCAGGAGACTGAGGCAGAGAATTGCTTGAACCTAGGAGACGGAGGTTGCAGTGAGCCAAGATGGCGCCACTGCACTCCAACCTGGGCAACACAGTGAGACTCCATCTCAAAATTAATAACAATAATAATAATAATAATAATAATAGCCAAAGCCTCCTCTGCCCTCCCAGTTTTCAGGTATCCTGCAGCCCCTCACACCCAAGGTTGAGGTCTTCAGAGGCAGCACCCAGGGGAGGGTGGAGGGGAGCCCCCACCCCAGTCCCCAGCCCAGCCCTCCCCTCCAGGCCACCCTGCCCCTGGCTGGAAACCAGCCACAAAGTGTCCACAGCAGGTGGGTCTGAAGTGGCTAATGGGTTTTCTTCATTTGGCTTTCCAGTACATTCTAAATTGCTCCCCACAGACACGCTCCCTTTCTGGAAATGGCACCAGCAACTTCCCTGGCATTAGAGGTCCTGTCTCCCCAGAGCCAGCTGAGGCCAGGCTCCAGTTGATCTTGTCCCTTCAGCCCACCTCTGGGTTCCTCCCAACCCATCTTTCCTGGTGGTGAACACTATCTGTTGCCCCATGGGGTGGGTGCTGTCAGCAGGCGACCTCAGTGGGCAGATGCTTCAGGGACTGCTGCTGCCACAGAGTCACCTGCCAGAAGGCATGCCCAAACCCAATGCCTGATGGGCACAGGATGCTGGGGTCTAGGGCCTGACTCTCCCAAGAAAATGGGCATGACCTGAAAGGCTACTCTAGCCCCAGGGCACCCTGTTGCCTGTTGGGACTGCATCAGAGTCCACTTCCCCTTCATCCAGTCCCACTTCCTTCCCTGCTTTCCACAGTGAAGCTCTAGGACTCCTCCCCTACCTGCCTGCCAATCCTCATGGCTACTTCCTGGCACCCTAACCTGCCCCCAGGTCCGCAGCCCAGCCCTCCCCTCCAGTCCACCCTGCCCCTGGCTGGAAACCAGCTATGAAGTGCCCATGGTGGGTGGGTCTGATGTGGCTAATGGGTTTCCTTCATTCAGCTTTCCAGTATATTCTAAATTGCCCACAGCAAACCCATATTATTTTGGTAATAAGAAAAAATAATAAAAGCTACTTTTCTTTAAGAAAAATGTAAAACCAAACCAAGCAGCGTCCTTCTTATCTGATATACCCACTCCTCCCCCAACTCCTCCACCTGGTTCCCCAGGGAGGGCCCCCCAAATCAGTGAATGCCCACACCCCTAATGTCCTCTCCTGTCCCTTCTGTCCTTCCAGACCTGTAGCCAATTTCACTTCTCCAGGGAAGGCTTTCTACCACCAACTCATTCTTGCTGTGGGGATACCTGCAAACTTCCGAATGGGTTCCTCATCTCCTAATGGGAGAAGAGTGCAAAATATGTCCTGATACTGGTGAGGAGAGAAAGTAGATGATAGGAGCAACAGTCACTCACTCAGTCCACAAGCCAGAGCTGGGTTTACTCTGTGCCAGGCCATGGGGCCACCGGAAACAGCACACAGACTCTGCCCCCACAGACCCCACAGCCCAGCAGGGAGAGGCCATCAGAAGCCCGAGAGGACACTGCGTGATGGGAGGGTTCCAAGGGGAGGCAGCCAGGCTGTGGGGAGGGGATTCATGGGTGGGGCTCCCAGCCCACTGGGGAAGCCTCTGGAGGGAAAAGGAGCCTCAGTGGGCTTCCGAGGGTGAGAGATTTGGGTGGGAAGGAAGAGGGAGAGGAGGAGACAGGAACAGCCTGTGCAACGGCCTGCAGGTGACAGAAGCCCCACTTGCCTGAGGAACTGAAAGCAGCTCAGGCAGCCGGGGGCAGAGGGAGGGCGAGAAGGGAGAAACGGCCTGGCTGTGGGAACGGTGGCAGAGCCATGCTAGGGAGACTGCATGGCTGTCAAATAGTAACGCGGGCCATTGTGGAATGAATGAATGATTGAGTGACTGAATGTGAACTCTGGGAAATAGCTGGCAACCTAAAGGAGAGGATTGAGTCCCCTCTTGGGCTTTCCCTCTATTCCCCAGGACCAAAGAGCCACCCAAACCAGACAGTTCTCTTTAGGCCCTTCCTAAGCCTAGAAATGTTGATGTCCTTCACAGACACAGGCCTGTGGCTAGGCCAGAACCCTTGGTGGCAGCCTCTTCCTCTGAAGTGGGTTTGCTCCTCCACACACTAGGGTCATGAGACCCCTGAGAGCTTGCTATGAAGACCCCAGAGGCTGAGGACGGCCTGGCTTGGGCCTTCCCAGCTTCCCTGATGTTGACCTGGATTTTCCCAAGGACTGGGACAGAGGCAGAGACCCTGGTCTAAGGTTGGCACCCCAGGAAGAAAGTGCCAACCCAGCAGCCTGAGGAGAGCCAGACCTTCACATCAGGCCTTCCCCCAAGCCAGGAGCAGGCCTGGACACTCAAACCAGGGGCCCATAAGACTCTCTGGAGTCAGCAGGTTGCAAGACTATCTCCAAAAGCCATAGCTGCCCATCAACTCCAGACTTAGGACGGGCCTAGCCAGGCGTGGTGGCTCAGGCCTGTAATCCTAACACTCTGGGGGGAGGCCGAGGTGGGCAGATCACCTGAGTTCAGGAGTTCAAGACCAGCCTGACCAACATAAATAAACCCTGTCTCTACCAAAAATACAAAATTAGCCAGGTGTGGTGGTGCATGCCTGCAATTCCAGCTACTTGGGAGGCTGAGGCAGGATAATTGCTTGAACCTGGGAGGCAGAGGTTGCGGTGAGCTGAGATCGCGCCATTGCACTCCAGCCTGAGCAACAAGAGCGAAACTATCTCAAAAAAAAAAAGGAAGGGCCTAAAGAGAACCGCCTGGTTTGAGTGGCTCTTTGGTCCTGGGGAATAGAGAGAAAGCCCAAGAAGGGGCTCGACCCCCTCCCTCAGGTTGCCAGCTATTTCCCAGAGTTCACACTCACTCATTCAATAAGTCATTCATTCCACAAATTATTTACTTGGTGCCAAACCCTGCTTTGTTGCAGGGGCAATGACAGGGATGAATCAGACAGATTCCCAGCCTGTAGGTACTTCCAGTCTAGAAGGAGATGAACAAAACGAATAACGCAGCCACAAGGCAGTCCAAGAACATAGGGCAGGGGGCAAGGATCTCACCTGCGGTATCAGGGAAGCTGCTGGAGGCGGTGGCTTGAGAGTGGTGATTTGGACATGTGATAGAAAGGCCAGGATGGAGGATGGAAGCTAAATCGCTGACAGACAGTCATGTTTGCACCCCAGCTGTGCCAGGGGCTGGGGCAATGTGGGTTATTTATGGTTGTGCCTAGAAATAAGCGGCCATATGTGTCACTGCCTATGTGGTGCAGAGCTGGGCTGTTGTGGGTAGGGGCAGCTGGGGCTTGAAGCTGGGTCTGGCCAAGCTCCTGGGTTTGCCACCATGTCCCCTACACCCTGATGACCCTTTAACCTTTTCACAGCCTCTTGTAAGGTGAAAATAAGGGGCAGAGACAGCTCCAACAGGCAGTAAGTGACCTGGGGCTTACAGGGGAGGGCAGTGCCCAGCAGCCCATGGCTTCTGTATCTGCGGGCCTTTTAGCATCATCACCTCCTTCTTGCCTCCTCCTCCCTCCCCGCTCCCATCCCAGCTGTGGGGGAAGGGGTAGGGGACAGAAGGAAATACCTTTAACCATAAGCCAGACAGGCATCATCTGCTGTGTTTCTCCCCAGCCCACTCTGATCCATAAATAGCCTACGCACCAAGCTGACACCAGCCCACCCACCCCTTCTGGTAGCAGTCCAGAGACCCGGACCGCCCGGGCCCAGGCTCCAGCTTCCCAAGGAACCTATTTCCGGCGCTTTTCCTGGGGTAAGGGCCTCCGTTGCCGGCTCGCTCCCCCAAGGGACCCAGCGCAGGGGCATCCTGACACTGCCTGGGTGATGCCCGAGAACTCTGTCCCCTGAAAGCATCCCCGGACGCGCACCCACTTCTCTCCAGGCAACTGCCCAACCCTTCCAGGGCTCTGGCCCAGGGAGATGTCAGTCCCGGCGCCCACTTCCAACACGCAATCCCTAACTGGACACCCACACACACAACCCCCCCGCCCTCTATTCAAGGGCCAGACCCCCTACCTGGGGGCAGGAGCGCCGGGCACCATCGGCGGCGCCTCCGGGCTACGCGGGACGTCTGGGGCTCGGCCTCAAGCCCGGTCGACTTCCTGGGGGAGGAGGGGGCTGGCGCTGCCGCCGCCACCGCGTCTCTCTGGGATATCGCCGGGGCTGCGGGAAGGAGGAAGGTCAGAGCCGAGGCGGAGAAGGGGGAAGGATGAGGAGGAGGCGTGCACAGAGCAGCGCAGATTAGAGAGGCATTTTTAGCGAGCCAATGGCAGCGCGGCAGGGCGGCGCGGTGGCTGCGCAGGTGGACGCGCGGCTGCTGCCTGGGAGGCAGCAACCAGTTTGGCAGGCGCCGGGGGTGGCGGGTGGCGGGTGGCGAGTGGGGTCCGGCTCCCCGCCGCTTCAGCGGACCCCTGCCCCAGCAGTCTTGCTTGGTTCCCTCCTCCGGGGGCTGCCCGCGGCCCCGCGCGTGCTGGGATTCCTCCCGTGCGCCCTCCTCCCTAGCCCTCCCAACTGGCGCGCTCGGAGCCCGGGGTGTTGCTCCCCGCCTCTTTCCCCATCTCCCCACCGCCCTGGCCTTTCCTCCTCTCCCAAGCCTCGGCGTGCGGGTGCCTGCGTGGCGGCTGCGCCACTGCCCCACCGATGCCCACCCCCGCCCGCAGCTTCTGCCCTGTGACCCCATGGGGCAGGGTCGCTAACCCTTATGTCCTAGTTCCAGCAGGACCGTCTGTCGCCATTCAAACTCCAGGCCGTGTCCTTGGGGCTCTCTAGGGAGCTTGGGGCCTAACAGGGGATCCTCAACGGCCTTCACTCTTCCGAACTTCAGCCCTGAATGCTGCCTGGAGCCTGGACGCTGCAGGCGGGAGCGGGGCACGTACCTATTGAAGGCCTGTTCTGTATCAGGCACTGATGAGGAACTGGACTGCAGCAGAGGACAGAACAGACCAAAACTCTGCCGTCTCATAGTTCACACATGTGAGGGAAGATAGATATTCAGTATCAGCAGCTAAGAGTGTTTTTTTGTTATGCTTTGTTTTTGAGACGGAGTTTCGCTCTTGTTGCCCAGGCTGGAGTGCAATGGCGCGATCTCGGCTCACCGCAACCTCCGCCTCCCGGGTTCAAGCGATTCTCCTGCCTCAGCCTCCCGAGTAGCTGGAATTACAGGCGTGCGCCACCACGCCTAGCTAATTTTGTATTTTTAGTAGAGATGGGGTTTGTCCATGTTGGTCAGGCCAGTCTCGAACTCCCGACCTCGGGTGATCCGCCCCCTCGGCCTCCCAAAGTGCTGGGATTACAGGCGTGAGCCACTGCGCCCCGCCCAGAGTGTATTTTAAAGTGGTATGCACAGAGTAGAAAAATAGAGCCGGAGGAAGGGAAAGGAAGTGAGATTACTCAGGACCAGAATGGGTCCCTGCCCTTTACATGTGTAGGGATTGGGGGGTGGGGGTGGTGGCTGAATTTGAATGTGAGCCCCTCAGGTAGGCATGCGGACTCTAGTTTGCCACAGACCTAACTACTCCCTATTGTTTGAGCCTGGAATAGTCACATGTTTGTATTTCCTGACTTCCCTCTCCACGCACTTCACCAGAGGCACTGAAATTCATGCCCCAGTGACCCAGGGGAATGCCTGAATGCAGTATTTATTCGTGCAATAAGAATTCTCTGAGCACTGATTGCATGTTAGGTGTTGAAGTCTGGGGGAACTCAACACCTAGCTGGGGAAGCCAGATGGTAGTATGTACCTCAAGGCTGACTAGGACGGCAAAGTGAGTGGACAATGTTCTGGAGAAGGTCAGTATAAGATTCTGGTTTAGGGCCATCCAGGAAGGCTTCCTGGAGGAGGCAGCATTCCAACAGGGTGCCAAAGGTTAACTGGGATTCTGATGAGCCAGACAGGGCAGGAGGCAGCGATGAATTGCTGGGAAAGGCCAGCAAGGCCAGGGGACATTTGGCAAGTGGCTAGGGCTGGGTCGTGGAGCACTGCTGGACACCCTCTATGCAAGAGGTATGCTGTTTGTCTTGGGTTGGTGAAGCCCCACCCTGCACTCCTACTCCAGCAGTTCCTGGTCCTAGCTGCCCTTACCCCAACCTAGAATTTTCCAGTAGCCCCAGAAGGAGGTGTGATGAGCATGTGGGTAGCCGTGGGGAGGAACATCAACTTCACTTAGTTGCTTGCTTGCTGGGTGAACATGGACAGGTAACTCAACCCCTTGAGATTCAGCCTTTTCATCTTAATAGCCATGCGGCAAGTTGCTTACTTGATCTGTTCCTTGGTTCCCCGGCTTGGAAAATGGGCATGGCAACAGCACCTACCTCACAAGACAATTAGGTGAACTGCTTAGCACATACATACTCAGTTAATTTTGTTGTATTTATGATGATGATGAGAATGATGATGATGAGAATGATGATGATGATGATGATGATTACACTTGCCTCATAGGGTTGTTGCAATTAGACAAAGAACGTAAGTCACCTAGCATAGTGCCTGGGACTTAGTAGGTGTGCCAAAATAATGGTATTATTATTATCACCAACTACACGCACCCCAAAATTTCTCCCTTTCTGGTCTACCACAGTGGTATGAAACGCCCCTCTTTAGACAGAGCTTTATTTTTATTTTTATTTTTTTCAGACAGGGTCTTACTCTTTCGACCAGGCTGGAATAAAGTGGTACAATCACAGTTCACTGCAGCATCGACCTCCTAGACTCAAGCAATCCTCTTCCACCTCAGTTTCCCGGGTAGCTGGGACTACAGGCGCATGCCACCACACCTAGCTAATTTTAAAAAATTATTTGTAGAGACAGGGTCTCGCTATGTTGCCCAGGCTGGTCTCAAACTCCTGGGCTCAAGTGAGCTGCCCACCTCAGCCTCCCAAAGTGCTGGGATTACAGGCATTAGCCACCTTGCTTGGCCTACCAGGACTTTTTTTAATGTAAAGAAGCTAATTCCCCAAGAGGCTCTTAAAGGACAATCTAGGATGGATAGACTAACAATTGGCCCCTCCCCTACTAATACGCCTGGCTCAATGTGTCGTCAGGAGCTTTGATGTAGATGGAATGGAGCCCAGGCCTGGAAGGTTTTGAAAAGGCAGTGAAGTCCAGAGCACAGGACACTGACTGAGAGAGGACACGCGATGTTCCTCGGCCGCAGGCAGTCGGTGGAGGATGGCGAGAGCAGGAAGAGGACATTCACAGGGAAGGGGGTGTAATGCAGAGGGCACAGGGAGGACTCTGCCTTCGCAGGGGTGGAGCCACTTGGGGACAGTGTGGAAGGGCAATGGCTGGGCAGACCTGATTGGGCAGAGGTAGGGAGAGGGAGGAGGTGGGTGGGGAAAGGGGTGAGAGAGAAGACTGAGCTGGGCTTACTCCTTTAGGAGTTGAGGCTTCCCTAAAGCTGAATTCAGGCCTTAGCAGCCTCAAGCCCTGAAAAAATGAGAGTGGAATACACACACATGCACACACACACACCCCTGTCCTGTGTAATCTAAAATAAACTGTTATTTTAGGAATTGACACAACTTCCATGCCTCCTAAAATTAAACTAGCTTTCTTCTAGATTTTCTGTCTGCAAAACTTATGTTCATCAAAGATAAACTTTCTCTCTCTCCATCTCTCTCTCCTCTCACCTCTTTCTCTTATTGGTTTGTGCCCCTGCTCAGAGAATAAGACTTTCTCCCTTTTGCACAGCACTTTTCACTTTTCAAAGTGCTTTCCACATCTTCACCTGAATGCACTTTTTTTTCTTTTTTCCGAGACAAAGTCTTGCTCTGTTGCCCAGGCTGGAGTGCAGCAGCACAATCTCGGCTAACGGCAACCTCCGAACAGCAACCTCCACCTTCCAGGTTCAAGCAATTCTCCTGCCTCAGCTTCTGGAGTAGCTGGGATTACAGGCGCCCGCCACCACGCTTGGCTAATTTTTGAATTTTTAGTAGAGACAGGGTTTCACCATGTTGGCCATGCTGGTCTCTAACTCCTGACCTCATGATCCGCCCACCTTGGCCTCCCAAAGTGCTGGGATTACAGGCGTGAGCCACGGTGCCCGGCCTCAGTGCACTTTTTCTCAGTCCCATTAAGATCTGACCAGCCTCAGTTTCCATGGTACCTTCCTTCCCACTGAGAGCTTCGAGCCCTCCCTCCATCAGCAGCCTCCTCCGTTAGGCTGTCTGTACCATAGAGGGCAATGAGGCAGGCCTACAGACCTCCCCAGAGGATTTTTCACATGCAGACATAACATGTGGAAAGGACAGACCAGCACTGGACAAGCCTGTGAAATCAACCAACCAATAAATGAATAATGGATGCTAATTAATATTGCATGCTTAGACTAGGAGAGCAGGAGGGTGGTGGTAACACTGTGGGTTCCCTTTTGTTCCATCCAATATGAAAGGCTTCAAGGAGGAGGTGGGGTTTTAACGAGTTTCTCTATTCTTACCACATCTCTGGGTAAAAAGAAAGGACATGGATTTTTTTCCCTAATTTTGGCAGAGCAGGACTCTGAAGCCCAGAGAGGGAAAGTGATTCATTCAAGGTCACACAGCACATCCGTGACAGAGCTGGGGCTAAAAACAGATCTCCTGACTTCTGGTCAGGTGCTGTCTTTGCCACATGATTCCTCCCCCACAAACCTGCATGGAGGTGGGCAGGTCAGAGCATGGAAAGCAATTGGCCCAGTCGCCCAGTGTGGTGGTGTATTTTCTGAGCTGCCTTTCTGCAGCACGCAGGGGCGTGAGCAGGACACCCCCAAGGCACAAAAGTACTTTAAAAACAGCCTCACAGCTCCTTCTGCCCTCGCCTTATCCTCCCACCAGCTGGCTTCACACTGGCAAACTGAATGCCATCACCTGCCTGGTGGACAGAGGCTGTTGCCAGCTGTGTCCTGAATCCTGAACCAGGATATCAGGAGCCTCAGAACTGTGCCTTCCTCAGTCCATGACTCATGCCTGGGAGGTTAAAAACTCCCTGAAGATGACGTCTCACCTTGACAAGGCCCTCAGTCTTGGGAGGTGCCCAGAGTTAAGACCCAGACCCAGCCTACTCACCCCAGGACATACAGACACTGTGGCAAACATAGCCCTTTTCCTGGACCAGGTTTCTTTCTTTCTTTCTTTCTTTCTTTCTTTCTTTCTTTCTTTCTTTCTTTCTTTCTTTCTTTCTTTCTTTCTTTCTTTCTTTTTTTTTGAGATGGGATTTTGGCTCTTGGTTGCACAGGCTGGAGTGCAATGTCATGATCTCGGCTCACTGCAATCTCTGCCTCCTGGGTTCAAGCTATTTTCCTGCCTCAGCCTCCTGAGTAGCTGGGATTACAGGCATGTGCCACCATGCCCAGCTAATTTTGTATTTTTAATAGAAACGAGGTTTCTCCATGTTGGTCAGGCTGGTCTCGAACTCCCAACCTTAGATGATCTGCCCACCCTCAGTTTCTCGAAGTGCTGGGATTACAGGGGTGAGCCACCACACCCGGCCTTGGTACTTTCTAAGCTTTACACATAGAAACTACAGGGATTACCAGCCCCCATTTCACGGACAGGAAAATGGAGGCCCACAGAGGTTAGGTAACTTGCCTGAGGTCACAAAACTGGTAGGTGGTAGAGCTGGGATTCAAACCCAGGCAGTCTGGTTCCAAAAGCCATGTTCCTAATCATACAGGTAGGAAAGAAGCAAATATTTACTAAAGGCATTACTATGCACAGGAAGAGCTTACATACTTGCCCTCATGTAGGTACTCTTATCTTCATTTTACAACTGAGGAAATTGAGGCTCAGTGGGTCCTTCTGGGGTGCCTGTCTCCAAGTATAAAAAGAAAGGACACTTGAGATTGTCCTGAAGGTAATGGCTCTGGAACAAGCCTCTATGGCCCAGATACCATCGCCACCTAGTGGCACTGTACCTTAAACGCAAGCAGAATACCTAAGCGAAGGCTGGCCCTCAGGTTCAACACGTGACAGATTTTGCAATTTTTGTTTGCTTGTTTGGGATGCCAGGTAATTTTAACTTTCTTTTCTTTTTTTTTTTTGAAACGAGGGCCTGCTCTGTCTCCTAGGCTTGAGTGCAGTGGCACAATCGTGGCTCGTTGCAACCTCTGCCTCCCAGGCTCAAGCAATCCTCCCACCTCACCCTCCCGAGTAGCTAGAATTACAGACATGTACCACCATGCCCGGCTAATTTTTGTATTTTTAGTAGAGACGGGGTTTTGCCATGTGGGCCAGACCGGTCTCGAACTGACCTCAAGCCATCCACCCGCCTCAGCCTCCCAAAGTGCTGGGACTACAAGTGCAAGCTACTGCGCCCGGCCAATAATCATCTTTTGTATTTAAGATATGGTCTTGGGCAGAATTCATCATTAGTAATGTCATCCTCAAAATTAATGGTGGGGTTGCAGGGGAGGATCTGTACAAACTATTGATTTTTCAGTTTTCCAAGAGCCTCCACATGCATTGTTTCATTTGACTCTTATCACGCCAAATATTATTTGACTCCTACTTTTTTTTTTAATGAGAAATTGACTCATCCAAGGAGCATCAATTGAGCTAGTCTTTGAACCCAAGCCTGATGGCCAGAATCTGTATCTTGTAACTGGAGAGGCCCCATTGGGTCAAGCTCCCATGTCCCAGGCCCAGAAAAGCTGGGTGAGTTGCCCAAGGGTTCCAGTGAGTCTGTGGCAGGCTTAGGCCCCAAGCCCTGGTCTTCAGAATTTTAGGGCTGAGTTCCTCTGCAATCCTGGGCTGTGTTTCAGCTTCTATTTCCTCCAAAGCAAATGCACCTAAGAAGAAAACAAGAGTTAAGCAGAGGCACTGCCATGAGGCTGTTGGGCTGAGCAAACAATACCCCAGAGTATGACACATTGGCAGGTTAAGTACTTAGAACTAAAGGGAAGGCCTCCAAAGTAGCCTCAGAAACAAAGTCTCTCACCCTTCTCTCATGTCTGCGCTCCTGTCTCTCGCCCCTCTTTCTCCCCGAGGGAAGTCATAGAAACCAGAAGTGCTTTTCTCCAAGGTGAGACATAGAAACTAGAACCCCTTTCCCCCAAAGCAAGCCATAAAACCTAGAAAGATCACTCTCTCCCTTCTCTCCTGAAGACCCTCATTGCAGAAAGGTCCTGCCCCAGACCCTGGGGAAAGGAATGCTACACAGAGAGACCACGATGAATCTGAACAAAAGGCCTGGCTGGGCCTTGCTGGTATTACAGGATCTTTGGGGTGTCGGTTTTCTGGCCAGACACGGTGCCTTTGCCTGAGTTTTCATCCTGCAGTACACAGACAAGTGAAAGTGAACAAGACAAAGATGAGCTTTACCGAGTGTTACAACAGCCCAGAAGAGACCGGCAGTGGGTAGCTCCTCTCTGTAGGCAGGGCATCCCTCGGTCAAGTGTTCAGTTCTCAGCAGAGAGGAGGCCCTGGAGCGGGTAGCTGGTTGTCCAGTTGTCTCCAGCTATGCAGCTTTCAGCAGAGAGAGAAGCGCCTCTCTGCAGCTGGTCATCCAGTCGTCTCCAGCTATCAGCCGAGAGGGTAGTTCCTCTTGTCTCCAGCTATAAGTAGAGAGGGTAGCTCCTCTATGCAGCTAGTTGTGTCCCATTATCTCTCTGCCCTGTTTGTCCTCTGGCCATCCTCTGCCCTGCTCTGGCTGAGCCCAGGGCTTTTATGGACCTCAGAGGGGAGGAAATGTCTGCCGATTGGTCCAAGGGTGGCCATGGGCGGGTCAAAAGAGGCACCATGAGACCCTACTCCAGTTTGCCGGGACTGGCAGCCCAGCCGCCAGCTTTCAGGCCCTCCCTGGCCTGAAGGTAGGGCCTAGGAACCTGCCTCCTTCTGCCCAGGCTTCCTGCATGGCCTGGGCCCTAGGGCTCAGCCCTAACCCTGCTCTGAGATCGGAGCAGGTGCTGGGAGAGGACAGAGGCCAGGCAGTGGAAGCAGCAGACACCCTCGAGCCTGCAGGGACAGGGTGATGTTGGGGGGCAGTCCTGGGGCCCCTGAGGGTGCAGGCTGCAGAGACTCCCAGGTCCTGCACCTGCAGCTGCACCCCGGGGCTCCCACCCCACCAACTCGGAAGGGGCAGGGCTCCTGCTCATCCCCAGCTCCTGCCTGCTCCATGGAGCAGGAGGCCCAGGTCTGCAGCTGTTGGTCGGGGGTGGCAGCTGCACCCAGGAGGGCAGATCTTACCTGCTCCTGGCCCCCTCCAAGAGCACAGGGAGGCTGGCACCCACAGCCGCAGTTTGGGTAACTGCAGCCCTGCTCAGGAGAGCAAGGGGTCCTGCCTGCTCCATAGAGCAGGAGGCCTGGTTCTGCAGCCATGGTTTGGGCAGCTGCAGGGGCACCCAGGAAACTCTCGCCCCAGCTCAGAAGGGGTGGGACCCCCACCGGCTCCATAGAATGTGCAGCCCCAGCCGTGCCTCCCTGCTACAGCCAGTGTGAGGGCAGCAGCCACTGCCATCACCAGGCTTTCCCTTTCAGTCTGTTACCACTAGATCATGCCCTTTTGGCCAATTCCATTTCTACATGGCTGTCCATTTTTCAACCTAAGCTTAAAAACAGACCATTTCCCAGGGGTCTTTGGCCCTTCATTTCTGAAGGCTTTGTCACTTTATGTGACAAAGTTTTATGTCACATAAAACCTTGATTAAATAAATGTGGTATGCTTTTGTCTTGTTAACCTGTCTTTTGTTATAGAGTGTTGGCATGATCCCTAGGATGGGTGAGGAAAGAGATCACACCTGTCTGCTCCTACAAGGCTCACAGCTGCAAAGCACCCCTTCCAGCCCACAATCTCTTTGCTGCTTTTCAGTCTAGGAGCACAGGGTCTTCTTTCCTGCTGGGCCTCCTTCATCAAGTAGCCAAGCATTAGCCCAAGGAGGAGAAAACCATAGTTCAGGCAGATCAGCCTGCGTATGCCCTGGCCCTCCTGCCTTCTGTCCCTTTTTCATGCTCCCCTTCTTCTGAGAGCCAGGAGGGCCCAGGCCAGATGAGATGGAATACATCACCGAGTGTAGAGCCAGGGACTGCATCTGATTCTGGTTCCGCCACCAACTCACCATGTGACCTGGGATGGGACATCACCTCTCAGCCTTGGTTTCCTCACCAATGCAGTGAAGATGGTTCGCAGCATGGTGTGTTGGAGCTGAAGCCTGAAAACCACCCAGGGCCGGGTGAGGTGGCTCACACCTGTAATCCCAGCACTTTGGGAGGCCAAGGTGGGCAGGTGACCTGAGTTCAGGAGTTCAAGACCAGCCTGGCCAACATGGTGAAACCCTGTCTCTACTAAAGGTACAAAAATTAGCTGGGCGTGGCGACACACACCTATAATTAATCACAGCTCCTCGAGATGCTGAGGCAGGAGAATTGCTTGAACCCGGGAGGCAGAGGTATTGCAGTGAGCCGAGATCACGCCATTGCACTCCAGACTGGGCAACAAGAGTGAAACTCAGTCTCAAAAATAAATTAATTAAATAAAAATAAAAATGACTCACTTTGGGCTGGGTGTGGTGACTCACGCCTATAATCCCGGCACTTTGGGAGGCCGAGGTGGGTGGATTACCTCGGGTCAGGAGTTGGAGACCAGGCTGGTCAACATGGCGAGACCCTGTCTCTACTAAAAATACAAAAATCAGCCGGGTGTGGTGGCACACACCTGTAATCCCAGTGACTTGGGAGGCTGAGGCAGGAGAATCACTTGAACCCAGGAGGCGGAGGTTGCAGTGAGCCAAGATTGTGCCACTGCACTCCAGCCTGGGCAACAGAGAGAAACTCCATCTCAAAAAAAAAAAGAGGGGGGGAGGGTCTGTTCTCCATCTTCTTCTTTCAAGAAGGGTGCTGTTACTACTTTGACCAACAGAAGATGGCAGAGTGATGTGCTAGTTCCCAGCCTAGCCCTTAACCGGCCGGCAGTTTCTGCTTCCTGCCTCGTGTGGATACTCCTCCTTTCAGCAGCCCTCTGACAGCCACCACCAACCCACAGCTGTGACAGACAGAGGGAAGTCCTAGACTTGCAGCCCCATCAGGCCTTCAGAGACTCCAGCCCCAGCAGTAAACCAACTGCAAAAACACAAGAGACTCCACCCAGCCGAGCTGGGTCAATCCACAGAATCAGAAGAGATACTCACACATTGTTGTTTGATGCCACTAAACTTTGGGGTGATTTGTTATGCAGCAAGGGACAGCCCAGATGGAGGCTTTAAAGTGAAGTGGCTTACCCGCCATGGTGGCTCGCACATGTAATCTCAGCTACTCAGGAGGCTGAGGTGGGAGGATCACTTGAGCCCAGGAGTTCGAGACCAGCCTGGGTAACATAATGAGATCTTGTCCCTAATTTTTTTTATTTTTCTGTCTTTCTTTTTTTTTTTTTTTTTTGAGACAGAGTCTTGCTCTGTCACCCACACTGGAATGCAATGGTGCCATCTTGGCTCACTGCAAGCTCCGCCCCCCCAGGTTCACGCCATTCTCCTGCCTCAGCTTCCCGAGTAGCTGGGACTACAGGCGCCCGCCACCACGCCCAGCTAATTTTTGTATTTTTAGTAGAGATGGGGTTTCACCGTGTGAGTCAGGATGGTCTCAATCTCCTGACCTCGTGATCCACCGGGCTCAGCCTCCCAAAGTGTGGGGATTACAGGTGTGAGCCACCACGCCCGGCCCCCTAAATTTTTTTAAAAATGAGATCACTCATTGTGGGTCCCAGGTCTTGGCTGTGGTTCTGTTGGTTAATAGTGTTCAACTGGGCAAAATGGTGGGAGAGAAGGCAGAGACCCCAGCCAGGCTGTTCAGTGTCAGCTCCAGCAACAACAGCTGTCGTAAGGTGCTGGCTCAAACGCTGTCAAAGCTCCACCTCCTTGTCTGTTTTGGTCTCTCCTTTTGCCCTGATGGTCTGTGTAGCACCATTAACACCATTTCTGATCATACTGACAATGTTCTCTGCTGCCCTTAAGCCATAAGTCACCATTTTTTAGCATCAGTAAATCAAATACAAAAGCCGAGGCTGCTCTGCTGGCTACCTGTGTCTCCCTGGCAAAACTGGAACTCCTAGGAACTTGGCTCATCCTCAGTGTGCAGTGGGATGGCTTGGCCCCATCATTTGGGCCCTGGACTCTTCTCTGTCTGGCATTGTTTCTCTCTGTGTGTCTAAGAAGGTTCCTCATGATTTTACCCATGGACCAACCAAGGGACAAATTCAGACCATCAGTGTTCTATCCAAGCTATACTTCATTCCTTCAGTACATTCTTTCCATGTTGAGAGCCCCCTTTGTCCCGGGCACTGTTCTAAGTGCTGGAAATATGGCCATGAACAAGACAGACAAAATCCCTGCCCTCATGGGGCTCAAAGACTGGAAGGAAAGGAAGATGATAAGCAGATAAACACGTAAATATAAAATAACATCAGCTGGTGATAAATGTTACAAAGCATAACAGGGGATTGGAGAGCTAGAGAATATCAAGAGATATTCTTTAGAGGGGAAGTCAGTGAATGCTCCCAAGAAATCATCAATACAACATAAAAATGACTGGAAGAGCCGGGCGTGGCGGCTCACGCCTATAACCCCAGCACTTTGGGAAGCCAAGGAAGGTGGATTGCCTCTGAACTCAGGAGTTCGAGACTAGCCTGGGCAATATGGTGAAACCCTGTCTCTACTAAAATACAAAAAATTAGTGGTGTGTGGTGGCACACACCTGTAATCTGAGCTACTTGGGAAGCTGGGGAACAAGAATCGCTTGAACCTGGGAGGCGGAGGTTGCAGTGAGCCAAGGTAGCACCACTGCACTCCAGCCTGGATGACAGCACAAGACTCTGTCCCCAATAAATAAATAAATAAATAAAAGCATTAAAATTGAAAATGGCCAGAAGAAAGAATCAAAACATCTCAAAGAAATTCGAATCTGCAAAATTTGATTGGAGAAATGATACCTGGTAAAAAATAATGGCCACAAAAAAATACAATTAGAGGAAATTTAAACAATGAAACTTGCTGTGTAAGTTTGAAACTCCCCCAGGCCCCCTAAAAAGTCAATAAGTCACATGGGATTTTAAAATTTGTTACAAAAGAATTGATCTCAGTGATGATAATCTCAGCAAGGTAAAAATCAAAATGGCAAAAGAGTTACTGCATGCTATAGAAAATTACTTAAGGAATTATCTTGTTTAATACTATTCACTCCAGAAAATATTTTCTCAATGAAAATTGATAATGAAAATAAATCTGATTAAAATTCTATTTTTAAAAATAGGGTCAATAGAGCCCGGGTGCGGTGGCTCACGCCTGTAATCCCAGCATTTTGGAATGCCGAAGTGGGCGGATCACAAGGTCAGGAGCTTGAGATCAGTCTGACCAACATGATGAAACCCCGTCTCTATTAAAAGTACAAAAATTAGCCCGCCGTGGTGGCTCATGCCTCTAATCCCAGCACTTTGGGAGGCCGAGACGGGCGGATCACGAGGTCAGGAGATCGAGGCCATCCTGGCTAACACGGTGAAACTCCGCCTCTACTAAAAAAATACAGAAAAAAAAAAAAAAGTACAAAAATTAGCCAGCTGTGGTGACGCGCG